TCTTTTGACTATACCTATTTAATACTACTTCACCAAAACTAATGTCTGGTTCAGATAAATTTTAATAATTGATTAAGTTAAATTAAATAACGTAAAAGGTAAATTAATTGAATTGAAAATACAAAAGCAAAATTAAGGGATGAATACAAACACATAAATAAACAAACTTCTAAACTAAAATCAAATCAAATTTCAAACCCAGTTTTAAATTAAAGGTATTTTTTAGTTTAAATATTTCATAAACTGTTTTGAAAGTTAAAATGATACAAGTTAGGTTACAATCTATTTGTACAGGGGAATAACATCATTATACGCTGATAATTCTCTCTTTTTAAAAAAAATTAGAAAGCAAATGTATTTGAATATTTAAAAGTCACTTTTTCATTAATATTAATACAAAAATTAGGCAAAATTAAATGTTAAAATCGTTTTTTGTTTCATCTTAATGGCAATTAAAAATTAAAAAAATATCATTTTTATTATTTGATTTAAGTTGATTTTCTGTTGATATCAATGAAAGAATGATATTTTTATTTTTTAAAACACCTTAAATAATGTCGAGGGTAAAATTGATTTAATCCATTAGTATTTGGTAAGAGGGTAATTTTGATTGGTACTTAACCCCCTTTTTTTTCTTTTTTCTTTTTTTCCTTAGCGACCCCATCGATCGTCACTGATCAGCAATCATTCATCAATTCACTAAAAAAGAAGAACAATCATTCATGAATCGATAGGTTTTTTCGGTGGAGTTCTGAGTTCGTGATCATATTCCCAATGAAGGATGGTACTCACTGTTTTCTTCATGGAATTATTACAAATAGGTGGTGACCACAAAATCATGAGCAATATCCATCACACCAAACAGAAGCAGTAAAAAAACGCGTGCAAGTTTTGTGCATCTTGATCTTGAACTGTCAAGAGATTCAGGTTGTTGCACTATAAACTTTGATCCACTTGCTGTTTTCTTTCTAAATGGGTGTACGGAAAATTGACTGCCAAATTCTAAAATGTGATTGTTCTGGTATTATATGAGGTGGGTCAACTTTTCATCATGTCTAGCTAGCAACGAGATTTGGAAGACTTGTTGCCGGTCGTTGTTAGCAAAAATAAAATTATCAAGAGATGGACGTGTAAGGTTAATGGCCAAGAGAACAATTGAGGCTGAGAAGATCCATCATGTCTCCGTTGAGAGAGACACCATTTGGGGTCTTGTTACGAACATTCAACCTTATTCAAACTCATACTCAAGCATTCATTATGTTATTTTTTCAATTTTTTTTTTTTTTAAAAAAACTACAATTTAAACCAAAGGGGAAAAGTGGTGTGTCTTTTTCTTTCTTTCTTTATGGTATGTTTAAAATTTTAGATTTATAAAATGAAATTTATGATAATGTCAAGTAGAAATACTCCCAAAGTATACCAAAAATTATATATATATATATTGTTATCAGAAGCTAATTATACAAAAACGAAACACGTATAGTATTTGCATAAAAAAATTGATGAATGTTCTTTTATACCTCGATTAGTGTATTCAACTAAGGGGTTTATGAACTTGGAAGTCCTTATACTATCAATTTTATCTTAATAAAATCTTTTAATTTTAAAATATTTTAATTCAACTCTTATCATATTGCTAGTTTATACCTTTAGTCATTTCGTCATTGATGGTGTTATTTAACCATTAACTTTGGAATACTCTTTAAAATATGCTATGTTATAATTGAAAAAATAAACAATAAAAAACAAGAAACAAACAAAATAGGAAAAAAAACTGAGAATAGAAGAAAAAAATAAAATTTAGGTCACATGTTTTACTAAACCATTAACAAAAAATCAAAATACAAGCAGGTTAATTAAAAATAAAAAATAAAAATGCTAAAAAAAGATTGATAAATCTTCAAGGTCCCACCAATCAAGATATAGGCGGGTTAATTAATTTAATGACTAATAAAGTCACTTTTTACAGTAAAGTACTATTAACAAACAAATACTGCATCATTTGTATTATTAATAATGTTTATGGTGAGATTCTTATTCATACTATGCGTGTTAATAGTCTCATTAAAGTGATTATCAATATGTTAATTTATTAACTATTATTATATTGATGGATCTGTCCAATTGAATCTATTGATAAAACATTAATTTTGTATTTTTAATGATATTAATGATCTTATTGATGTGATTACCTATATATTGACTTACTAATTAATATTTTATCGTTAGAATTGTACAAACAAATTTAGTAATAGAACACCGAATTTATATGTTTGATGGCTATGGACAGGGAGTTGTGCTTGTTTGTATATTATCAATTGAAAAGTCCTGACCAACAACTCATTATTATTATTATTAGTTTTTTATTGGGCCCAAGCCCATTAAACCCAAAAATGAAGCACCAAAATCATTGAGAAATCAAGATCCAGTCTAATTAAAACCTAGCCCAATAGTTATAAACCTTCAAAAAGAGAAAACCTTAAATCTGTACTAAAGCCCAGCCCATAACTATGGGTTTTTCATCGTCTAGGGTTTTTGAACAACTGTCCTTGCCTTTCCCCTGGGAATTCCATCCATGGCTATGGCTTCTTCAGCCAACAAGAAGAAACCCAAAAAGAACCAAACCCCAGAATCCCGATTCAATTACAACCTTAATTTTTATTCAAAATCCAAAGACTTACACTCTGCTATATCCCTCTATGACACTGCAATATCCCAAAACACTCATCTCAATCAACACAACTTCAACACTCTCCTTTACCTCTGTTCAATCTCCCTCAATGACCCATCAACAAAAGACTTGTCTTTGCGATATGGATTTCGAATATTTGATCATATGGTGTCTAATGGGATCAAACCCAATGAAGCATCAATCACAGCTGTTGCTAGACTAGCTGCAGCTAAAGGGGATGGTGATTATGCTTTTGATTTGGTTAAAAATATTTCGGTATATAATGAATTGCCAAGGTTGAGGACTTATGATCCTGCATTGTTTTGTTTTTGTGAGAAGTTGGAGGCTGATAAGGCTTATGAAGTGGAGGAGCATATGGGGAGAATGGGGGTAGGTTTAGAAGAGGGGGAGATTGCGGCGCTATTGAAAGTTAGTGTGGAGAGTAGAAATGAGGAGAGGGTTTATGGGTATTTGCAGAAATTGAGGAAGATGGTGAGGGCTGTGAGAGAAGACACCGCGACGGTTATTGAGCATTGGTTTGAGGTTTTTGAGGGTATTGGGGTGGAATTGGACGTGGGTTTGGTGAGAGAAGCGGTTTCGAGGAATGGGGGAGGGTGGCATGGGCTGGGATGGATTGGGAAGGAGAAGTGGGTGGTGAAGAGAGGGAGTGTAGATGTTGGTGGAAAGTGTTGTTGTTGTGGGGAGCAGTTGGTTTCTGTTGATATTGATGATGACGAAACAGAGAGGTTTGCTGAGTCCGTTGCTGGATTGGCTATGGAAAGAGAGGTTAAGGCTAATTTTAGTGAATTTCAGGTTAGTGATGGTAGCGTTTATTTTTGTACTTGTTTTGGTGTGGTTTTTGTTGGTCTAGTGATGAATTATACATAATTGTTTATTTCCATGGGATTTTTTGTTGGTATTTATGTGGTTTATGTTGAATTTGAAGATTGAGGACTTCCAATGGAAAAAAAAATAGAGATTGATTGACGTGGTGTACTCACTATGAATGCTCATAGTTGTTGAGCGTTTTCTGCATATGTAGATATTGTTATTTTAAAATACTAACGTTCTCTGCATTGAAAATAGAATCAGTGTTGATTTATCAATCTCTTGTGCTTATGTTTTATTTTATAGACATTAGAAAATATTATGCTATGGTAGCATGGCGAAAATTGCTTCATCACTCTCCTAGAGCTGGGGAAAAGTACTTTGCCACCATCTGAGCCCCTCTCCCAGTTCACCACCCACAAAATTAAAGTATCACGTCTGAATAAGCTAGAAAATAACTCGCATGTCTCTTGCTGACATTTTTGTAAAGCCAATAGCGATGATGGTATAGTAACTGAGCAATTGTTTTGATATGCTACTGTCCTTTATCATGCTTTACCTTTTTTATTAGGAGCTTCTTCGAGTATATTAAATGGATGGAAGGGTCAAATTCGGTTTAAAGATTGTGATTTTTGTATATCTTGATAGATGATCTCTTCTAGCTGAACTTGGTGAAGAAACATGCGAATGCTATTGAGATTTCATAGAAAATTTCAATTTCATGATAATTTGGAAAAGATACAGATTTTATATATTAAACGGCTCTTATTTTTAGGAAAAAAAAATTGTTGCTTTTATCTGTTCAAACTTTTTATTGATTTTATCTCTCCTTACTTTTTTATATATCATGCAATAGGATTGGCTAGAAGAACATGCCAACTATGAAGCAATAGTGGATGGAGCAAATATTGGACTTTATCAGCAGAATTTTGCAGAAGGCGGATTTAGCATTTCTCAGGTTGTAGTTGTACATTTGAATTGGTACTACTTTTCTTTTCTCTTCCATTAAGTTCGCTTCTTCTGCTAATTTGTTTAACTCAATTGCTATATCTTCTCACAAATTGAAATAGAGCAGCTTAATGCTGTTGTAGAAGGCCTGTACGATCGTAGTGGGAAAAAACCACTTATTATTTTGCACAATAAGCGTCTTCGAGCACTCCTACAGAATCCTTCCACTAGAGAGCTGATTCAAGAGTGGATTGAAAAAGATGTTCTTTATACCACGCCTCATGGTTCCAATGATGATTGGTATGAACTTATAGAATTGATTCTTATGTGTTTGTGGTTATTTCTATCATTGAAGGATTTTTTGTTGAAAACTTTTCTTTTCACCTGTTTTGGGCTTTATACTATTATTTTTCTATTTCACTAATTGCTTGATGCAATGTTTTCAAACATGATTTTTCAACAATGTTGATATCATTGGATTGTCAACTCCATTTTCCTAAAAAGCCTTTTTATTTGTATGGATATTTTATTATTATGTTCTTCTGTATTTCAGGTATTGGCTATATGCTGCTGTCAAACTTAGATGCTTGCTAGTGACAAATGATGAAATGCGAGATCACATTTTCGAACTACTAGGAAGTGACTTCTTTATCAAGTGGAAAGAAAGACATCAAGTATGTGCTATGTCATTATCCTATCCAATGCATAATGCTGTTATTCTCGTTTCCTGGATGTTGTTATTAATATCCATTCCTTCTAAGAAAACATGGTGAAGTGACTATTTTCTAAAGAAAATGCAAGGCATCTGCTTGTTCATTATAAGTTTCTCTCTCTTTTTACCCTAATACATATGCGCGCACACAGACAATATGTGTGTGTGTGTTCAATCATCCGCATGTATTATTGTAGTGGCACATTTTATTGGAGACATGGCCTTAGACTTGTTAAATATCCCTTTTGAAACCCAAGAATAGGTCATGTTCAAACCTATATGATGAGTTGAGTATTTTTTCGTCTTTGTATCACACAGTATTTTGGTTATTATTATTTTCTAAAATCTGAATTTAACTTCTATTTTTATCATTAAGAATTTTAGCATTCCTCAATGTAAATGTCTTCTTTAGTCATTTTTGGTTAATTAGGGTTTTGTAAATGAAGATGGATTTTTTTCCTGCCATGTTTGTGAATTGAGATTTATGTTATTAACCTTCTGAAATTTTGGATGACAAGAGACTCATTCACCTTCGAAAAATATGGGTGTGGCATGGTTGCTTTGCTTTGGTTATACCACAATTGGCAACTAAAAGAGATTCCATTGTCCCTAGTTTTTAAGTTTGCCCTCGTTTTGGATTGTTTTTTGCATCGAGAAAGCATTCCTTTATGGTTTTAGTATTGTTTGGTGACATTTTCATTGATGGATCTAACATCTTTTCATTCCTGTTTGCTTGCAGGTTCGATATACTTTTGTCAAAGGGAACCTGGAACTTCAAATGCCGCCTTTGTTTTCAATAGTTATCCAGGTATTCTTTCAAAGATGGCCAATATGGATGCAGAATGCTAGTCTTCAAGTTGCTTACTTATAAATTTTAATTTTCCTCTTGTTCTTACTCTCCTTTCTATAATTACAATTTTAGTGTTGCTGAGTTGCCTTTTGGTTTCAGGAATCAGAAAAAGGATCATGGCATGTGCCTGTAGCGGGTAATAATGATTCTCTGCAAAACTGGCTGTGCATTTCCAGGCCAAGAGCTTGTGATGCTCTTGAAGAAGATTCGTGCATGGAAGAGTCAAAAGACAGTAATGATATTTGCTGCAATAGTAAATTACTGAGCTTTGACAGACCAGAAAGTCTTACAAGTTGCAAAAATAAACTCCAAAGCCAAGCTTCTTTTCAGGAATCTGATAATAAAATCACAGCTCTGACGAGCAAAAGGAAAGAGAGGTCCCCATCTCCTTCCTAGCTGCAAATTCCTTGTGACCAGCGTCATTTGTAGAATTCATCGAGCAGCAATTGCCTGTTGTAAGCTTATAGAAATTTTGCCCTTGCCATGCTATTTAGAAGCCCCCAGTGCCTATCCACCCAGCGAAGTTAAGTTTTGGTTTGCAAGTTGTAACCATTCTTGTAATGCACACGAACCCGTAACAACAACGGAGAATAAGAACACTCTACAGATAGTAGTTCATTCCATAATTGGCGAGCTCTATCAGTTTGGTTCCATTCTCCTGATGAGAGATCATGATTTTCTTCCTGGCAAAATACATGAAGGTTACAAAAACTTTCTTTTCAAGAATGTTACTCCTCTTAATTGCAATTTTTTCTTTACTACTGTTCTATCTCTTCTTTATTTTAGCCTAGGCAATGCCTAATCTACTGGACCAATCACCAAGAAATGCAAAGAGATGCAAGAACTATGTCGGACAATCAAGGAAACGAAAGGACGAACCTGACCATTTCAAAAGTGCTCTACCTTCAAATCATTTTCTAGAACCTCAGAAAAAAGGCAGAACACATGCCGTCTGTTGAATTCATCGGTAAAATATTATTCGTCAATAAATGGGCCATGCACAGAGCCCCCAACTAGTTCCAAACCAGAAGAATAGCCTCTTGGAGTTGGTGAGACATTGAGACCTATAAACTCGTACCCTTTGGAGTTGCGAGAAGCGCCCGTCATAGGTCAGGCTTGGCCCAACCTTTGGTGGGCTTAACTTATAGACTTTGATTAATTCAATTTAGTCCCCCAACTATATATGAATCGTAATTAATCCCTATAATCCATCCAAAGTGTACATCTATGCATTACAAACAACATCTTTTTTTCCTTTTCTGTAGTTGAAGGGAAATTAGAATCTGATCACTCAGGCTGAATAAGTCTTTCTCTGCTTTACCATCAGAACCAAGTACTTGGGTAAATTTATAATATTCAAAAGCATAGAGTGGTTGTTTGAAAAATAAAACAATTAAGGGCACATTGATTATTTGTTATACAGTTGTACTCTAACCAGTATCTTTACATAAGCTAGTACAATCCACACATTTCACATTATAGGAAAAAGAAACACAATCATAAAACTAGTGAAATTGCATTTGACCTCTCTTTATTTTCATATAACTTAATTACAAAGCATAAAATATTCATCATTACACGATTGAAATATAAGATCATTTTACGATTTTCAAAAGCAATATATATAATTCTAATATTTATTTCATGACATATTTAATGAGACCAGGAACATGAATATTCATCATATAATCTTCCCAGTCGATGCTCATGGGATCAAAGTTGAAAACGTTTGCTTCAAAATAGATTTCTCTTGAAAATTATTTGTAACTTATGCGAATTTGTATCGTCAAATCTGCATATAATAAAAATTTAGTTTTATCACTGCAGATTTCAAAACAACACAATTGATCAATGAATTATGACAAGTACTGAATTAGAAGAGCACATACATTCTCTCAAAGAACACTTACCCCCTGTTTGGATAGGGATGAAAGTGGGAAAGAGAAAAGAAAATAGAGTGAAAATGAAAATTTTTTCCCGTTTAGATTGTAGAGGAAATGAGAGGAAAGAAAATAATAATAATAAATAAATGTTTTTTTTGTGAGACCCATTTTCCTTCCAATTTTGGAAGGAATCTGAAGGAAACTTGAAGCTAACTTTTCTTTTTTTTTGCTTTCTCGTTTTTACCCTTGCTCCATCTATGTGACAAGAAAAAAATAATAATAAATTCTAATTTTCCTCCCATCCCACGGGTTGCAATGGATTAATGTAGCATCGATATCGGTCAAGAGGACTACATCCATGTGAGTCAATTTGCCATTTGAATGCTGAAGGCTACGTTAGACGATATTATTGTGGTCCGCCTCCGACAACAAGAAGTCATCGAGCTCGGAGTTTATTTCAATTGTTATTTTCTTCCTTTTTCTTTAAATTAATTAAGAAATATTTTTAGATAAGCTTTTAATAAACCAAAACTAAGTGTAATTTTGTATAGGAATAAATTATACATTGTTCTATACAGTTTCGAGAAACAAATTAATTAGTTATTTCTATTTTAAAAATTAATAAATTAGTTTTTTTGTCTATTTTATATGTTTTATATTTATCGTTTTTCTGTTTAAAAGGAAAAATAAATAAATAAATGTTATGAAAAAAATTAATGAGAATAAAAAAATCAAAATAAAAATATAATCCTAAGGGCATTATAGTAAATATATAATAATATATTTTTTTCATTTCTTTTTTTACAATTATTCAAACAAGGAAAATGTATTTTCTTTCCTTTTCTTTCTACTCTTATCCAAACAACAAGTGAAAAATGATTTTCTTTTCTCTCCCTTTTCTTTTTTTTATTCACTTTCTTTCCTCTCAAGAGGAATTATCCAAACAAGGGGTTAGGGTTTGAAAAGATCTAGGAATCGCATTAGCAACCTGATTTTTCGATTAAGAACAATATAGACATATCTAAATTTTTGGAACAACTATTTATTCACCAGATACAATGCCTACGAGGAACAAAAAGGATAGAAAAATTTAGTACTATAATCAATTTGTTCAAGATCAATTGGAAGATTTAAATAGAGTTAGATCACAATAAATTAACTAACCTTCAATGGTAGTAGAAAATGAATCGTCAGGTATGTGTTGAAGTTAGCCATACTGTTTAAAAGGGCCATTTTATTTACTTTTCCTGTGACTCCATCATTGTTAACCCATGGATTCTTACTGAAGTGCCGGAAGAAAAAATCAAAAAGATTTGAAATTTTTACTGGATTTCTCAATGAAGAGCCCAAATGATAACGGATTCCTGAATGTTGTTGGTCTCCATGTGCTTCAATGGCCACAATAATAGCATTGACAACCATGTCAGCTGGTATCTGCAAAATTATAAAAAATGTTCATTTACATAAGTTATGGAAATTTAAATTAATTTGAAGATCGGTCCAAGAGAAGAAATTATTCAATTTTTCTTGTCTCACCACATCAATATATGATTTTGGATTGAAAATACAGCATTTCAATTTGCCTTTACTAGAACCAGAAATTACGCCATCAATACCTCTGTTAAGAAAGGCATATTGTACAATATTAGTGGCATGAGATGGAACCTGAGATATGAAATCTGAAAACTCAAAATGTATGAAATTATTATTTCTTATACACAAGAAATAATACCTTAAACCCTCAATCCAACCAGGAAATGGATCTTTGTAAGTGCTAGCTATGATGGTGGGACGTGGGAAGTATGATGAGTAATGGTATGTTATTTTTGAAATGCATTAGAAGCATCTCTCCCATTGCCTTTGTAAAAACGTAAGTGTTTGGCCATCCATAAAGCCTTGCCCTATTCATGTGCAGGAGAGCTTAAATTATATTAGATAATTTAGAATCATAAGTAATTAATTATATATAAAATTTGAGATCAAATTCCACATATTCATTTGTTTATAGAATTGATTAATATATTATTGAAGAGAAGATTCAAACTCGAGTTTTCTTGTATATCATCAAAATCCTGAATGAGAATTGAGAATAAAGCTTATCCTTAAAACTAACTGAAGAAACGCAGAAAAAATGAAGAGAATGTCCTTTGTATAACTAAAACACCATCTTTTTTAAGGAAAAAAAAAAAAAAAACACCGTGATTCTTATTATGAATTTTGGGTGATGTATTTTATTCTCAAGAGAATTTTTTATTAAATATCTAGAGTTTATATTCTCTACGAACTTATTGACTAGAAGTTTTAAATTTTAATAGAGTTCTTAAAAAGTTTTCATAGCTCTCTATAATTAAGTAGCTAATAAAATCACTTTCAAATAGTATTTTCTTTTAATGTAATGTTCTCACCTCCGAGGGGGAAAAAAAATGAGATAAAAAAAGAAAGTGGACTTTCTTAGCAATTCTAACAACTAGGAGACTCGATGGAACTTTCTGAAAACGGAAAGAGATTATAGACAATAAGGGCCAAACGTAAATTTTGCTAAAAATATTTAGGGGCTAAAGAATAGTTTACCCCCTCTTTCAATATAACAGTTTTTTTTTTTTTTTTTTTTTTTAGGATAATCTAAGCGGTTTCTTTAAAAAAAAAAAAGAAAAACATAGTACCTCTCAGTGCCAAAATCCTTCATAGCTGATTTAACATCACAATCTGGAGCACTTTCTAACTGGAGTTGATTTAATTTTTCTTCCATCAGCCTCCTTTCGGTGCTACTAACTATTTTATCGGTTCCTTTTTTGGCTTTACCCATGAGAAATGGCTCCTCCAATATCAGTCCTTCTTCACCACACACATAAGCTGAAAAGGCATATATAAGACTGTTAGTATAAATTATTATTATTATTATTTTGAATTGACAAAAACATATATAAAAATAATAGACAAAAGATTCCAGTGAAAATAAAAATAAACGTAGTATAAGACAAATTAAAGATCACTTTTCATAGACAAGCATCTTAATTTTCACACATTTCTTTGCAAAATTCAAGACATGCAAAGCTTGCATTGGTGCCTAGTGCCACATCATACCTTTATCACAAGCCAAAGAGAATTAATTTACTAACCATGTAATTAGAGTGGAAAAACGATAGTACGTAGCATGCAGTACAATTCCTTTGTTCATCACCTTTCGTCAAAGTTAGTGGTGGCAGCAAAATTAAGCACAACATCAATTTCTCCCCACATTTCATCCTTCAAAGAAGAATCTTTCACTCCCAAGTCTTCGTAAGTGATATCACCAGGGACAGGAGTTACCTTTTCTGATATAAAGGAATGAAGATTTGCACCATGTTTCTCCCTTAAAACTTTAAACAAGTCCTTTCCTATTACCTATTCATGCGGTAAAATTTGTTCAAATGATCGTTAGAATTTTTCAATCAACAATTCTCATGTTATTTTTTTGTGTCACTGAATATTGTCTTTTGATTATCATTTTTGGGAATAGTTTTAGTACCTCATCACACAGACGTTCTCTAGCAGACTTATCATCTGCAGCTCTTAGAAGGAGATAAAGTTTCTTCACATTTGGTTGGACCCTCAATATTTTCTCCACAAAAACTGCATTCAATGCATCAAATAAAAAATTATTAACTATGCAGTGAACGTACATAAAATCCCATCAAGAGAAAAGATGAAAGAGGATGCATGAATACTCTTTGCTAGATATCCCGTTGCACCAATGACCAAAATGGTCTTCTTCTCAAGAAACTGGACTATACTTCTCAACTCCATTAGATAGTAGATAGATATTATGTGTTTGTTAACAAAAAGAATAGTTTCTCATGATTTAAACAGCCCAATTACCCAAATGAAACCAAAAAAATAATAATAATAAAATAAATGCATGCACAGTTCGGCTGGAAGATTAAATTGTATATAGGAACCAACATCATAGTATGTGGGACTCACACACGTGAGATGAAGGAATCAACAAGAGTTTTTTTGCGAAGAATGCAAGTATGCAAGCAAAGTTATAAGTTATACGCATGAAAGTTTGGTGTCGAAAAAGTTAAATGGAACAACTTTATTCTGAATTTTAATTTATTTAAAAATTAATTTATAAACTGGTCAAATTATCTAAGTTTACTTTTGCATGACTCAAAAGTTTGCATTGAACGAAATTTATTTTAATTTATAGTTTGAACTCACTTTAAAAACTAAAAAAAAATAACATAGATTAATATATAAAAAAATTAACTTAATCCTTATATATATATATATATATATATATTAAAACAATTCATAAGTAAAATAGTTTAACAATTTATTCAAATTCACATATGTATGTGTATGTAGATGGAATTCGTTGTAGATAGCATATATATGTTGAACCAAAATAAAATAAAAATAAATCAAACAATATTTGATTAAACAAAAAAAGTGCCCTAATATGCATATAATTGGATTCCCAAATTAGCAAAAGCATCGGCAACATTTTTATGGCATCCAATTGAAATCTCAAATAGTTTTTTTTTTTTTTCCTTCGCTTGCATGCAGAGACCTTTCAAAACCCGTTCTTAGCTGGATATAGTTGGGCTTGAATGCTCTTGTGTAGAAAAATAATTGGGCGGTGGGTGCTTCCCTTATATACGGAGAATAACTTCTGCGGCTTATAGGATCCCCATTAAATTTAATACAATCCATGACCTAAATTTTAATTGGTAGTGAAAAATATAGTTATCAATCACATTGGAAGTTCCCATCCCAGATCGTAAGCTCAAGGAAAAATTGTTTTCAAGACAGCGTGCAACGAAGGTTCAATTTCATTATCTGATAAGTTTTGATCATTTGTATTTTTTTTCACTGGCTTGTTTATAGGAATTTGGAGGATTTAGATAGTCAGAATAAAATGCTAATTTGATGAGTTTTGGCGGTGTTTTTTTGTTTTTAATATGCAACTAATTAATTAAATATTATATAATATAATATTTTGTGCGAGAAAAAAGAAGATATTTATTATGATGGTCAAGTGGTATTTTTAAGCCATTTATTGTCCAAGGAAACTAAACAAATATCTTCATTTAATTTCGTTTAAGGAGAGTTATTTGCACCAAAACTAAAAAATTCAACAAGAAAAGCTGTCGGCCAAACCAACCATCAAAGTTAAAATGAGATTATTGTTGATGTATGAGGCAATAGAAGGTTCTTTTGTGAATTTCATAGATAGAGTTAATTTTTTCACATTAATAAGTTAATCATCTATTAACTTGGGCTTTTTTTATCTCTCAAATAAAAAATATTTGTGGTCTTTATGAAGATGAAATGATCCAAGGAAAGCGAGCAATAGTACCAAATAAAAAGAAGAAGTCAAGAGAATATATCCTGATCTATATGCTATTTAATTTAGATTTTTTTATCATTATTTAATGCGGACTTGAAAGGGTTATGCAATGTTAATCCTAGTCATAAACTGATAATAATTGTGGTGAGCAATCAAATTTGAAAGGTAATTTGTAATTTATTTGTCCCCCACCCAAATTTAGTAGGCAACAAGTTGGTTTCAACCACAATTTATTTTATAGTATTTGGCATATGACAATTATTTTTGTGAAGATTTTACCGATTAAATCATAAGTTTACATTATATATTATCATAAATGGTTTCCATAAAGATTAGGTGGAACTCATAATACGTAATTGTATTTTAACTATATCTTATTCAGTTTTTGTTAATGGCTCCCCAAGTCCATCCTTCAATCCTACAAGAGGATCGCGACAAATGGATCCCCTATTTCCATACCTCTTGTTGTTTTGTGTATAAAGGCTTTGTAGCTTTATTTGCCAATCAGAGAACAATACTAAACTCTATGATGTAAAAGTATACAGACAAACATCGTCAGTTTCTTTCTTATATTTTGCAAATGACAACTTATTTTTACTAATGCCTCAATCTAGAAAGTGAAAGAACTTCTTTGTATTCTCAAGGACTATGAGAATGCCTTAGGTTAGCAAATTAATTTTGACAAGTTAAAACTTTCTTTAACCAAAATCTTCCATAACAGATTCAATCTTTAATCCAAAGGAGGATGCAAGTAAAGGTAGTGGAGGAGCATGACAATTATCTAGGTCTTTCTATAGTTATTGGTCGTTCAAAGAAACGTGTCTTCAGTCTGATTCAAAATAAAGTGCTAAAAAACAGAAAAGCTAGAAGGAAAAATTTCTATCCATGGTCGACAAAGAGATTCTCATTAAGGTAGTGACTTAGGCGATCCCTATATATTATGAGTTGCTCCTCCTTTCACAGGGCTTATGTGAGGAATTGAACTAAATCATATCAAATTTCTGGTGTGGTTAACGATATGAGGAAAGATGAATTCATTAGCTAAAATGGAATAGGGTGTGTACCTCAAAGTAGTCAAAAGGGTTCGAGTTCAAAGACTTTCACTTCTTTAATCTTGTTATATTGGCTAAACAGGCTTGGTGAATTATGAATGACCACTCTTCATTGTTTTTCAACCTCTTGAAGGCAAAATATTTCACTTTCTCTACATTTAACATGGCTAGTAAGAATGGTTCCTCCAAATATTCCTTGCAAGGTACATTGCATGAAAGATTGCTTGTTGATGCAAGTACAAGGTGGAAAGTTGGGAATAGTAGAACAATTCAGATTTGGAAGGACAAATGGTTGCCACTCTAAGCTGGCCATAAACCTTGGTCTCTACCTCAACTCCTAAATGAAGATGCAACTGTTGCAAAGCTTATTAATTAATCCACAGACCAACACATGGAAGACTACTTTTACCCATCGCATCTTCATGCCATTTGAAGTGACAAAAAATCACCATATTCCTTTAAGCCTTCGCTCATCGAATGACACGCTAGTGTGGCACCATACAAAAAATGATAACTTTACCATAAGAAGTGCTTATTTTGTAACTTTAAACTTGATTAGAAACAACATTGCAAATACAAACAATCTAATTAACATGGAGAAACGAGTGTGGAAGTGATTGTAGCAACTAAAAGTCCTCCCAAAAGTCGGACATTTTTGCTGGAGAGCATGGACGGACATCATCCCTTCAAAAACCAACTTTGCTAAGCGAAAGATGAATTTAGATCAACCTTATGCTCGATATGGATACCATTCGATGCATATTAACCACATTCGATGCATATTAACCACATCCTATGTAGTTGTCCATTTGCCCAAAAGATTTGAAATTTAAGAGGTAATACTACATCCGGTTTAGTACATTTATCTTTTTTCCTTCGGAATTGGTTTTGTGATTTCATGCTACAAATGAAAAACTCGTCGTGAAATCCATCATTATGATGGCTTCGGATACTTGGTATGCTAAAAATTGCTTATACTTCTAAAACAAGGAGATAGACATTCCGAGCGTAATACAAATTATTGTCTCCGTTCGTTTCATTATCAATTTGTTAATCACAAGGAGGAGAATTTGATTTCTTAATTTTGCTATCAAAAGACCTCAAGTTAGGTCCCTTCATGTGATGATGTAATCAAGATCAATGTTGATGCTTCAATTAGCTACAATATCAATGGATTAGGAGTAATCACAAGGAATTCTCTTAGAGAGATAAGTTCTTAGTCCACAAAGGACTAAAGGTATAATACTCTATTGATGTAGATGAAGCTTTGACTGCACTTTATAGACTTTAGATTGCTATAAATATAAGGTTTTCTATTGTCTCTTTGTAATCAAACTGCTTCGCCCTTATCTCTCGAACACCAATTACATACCGAGGATAGTAGTTATTTATCTTCTATTGTCCTAACTATCAAATATTTAGTTAATCAGTTTAATTGTTGTACTTTCACTCATGATAGTCATGCAAACAACAAGACTACTTTCATAGATTAGCTAATTTGATTTAATCCTTCTAAACAAATCTATGTGAAGTTGTCCAAGTTGATGTACCATCGTTGATTTTTTAATGAAGTTGAAATTATCAACAAAAAAAAATCTAATAAAAGCAATAAAAATGAATTTTTTTAATAAATATAAGAAATTCATATGTGATGAATTGGTCTGCTTAAGATTTGATGGGAAAAAAATATTATTTTTTTGTGTATAAAATTTGATTAAAAAATATCATACTGATAAAAAATAATTGATTTTATGGTCTTTTTCATTTTTTCGTCAAACTCGAACAACATCTATTTGAAATTTCGAATGTTACGTGATTGATAACAATACTATTGTTTCTAATCAATTACAATTGAAAATTTAATAAAAGCAATTATCAATCTGTTGAAATGAATTCTATCCAGTGATAGTCTTTTAAGCCACGTATTGATAATGTAGAAAAATCTGATTTTAAATGTGTGGTGGAAAAACATTAAAAAAAAACACTATATTCTTATTATTGTTTTACTGATTAGTTGGAACCATAAAAGTATTATTGGATAACTTTTTATATTTTGAGATTAAATCATTCGTCTTTGAAGTTTTGAGTAGATCATCTCTATATCTTTTTACAACTTTTCATAAGATTCAAATCTTAAATAATAACATTTGAAACAAACTAAACTAGATTTTATTTCTATACGAAATAAACAATTCCGCTATCATCTTACGTCCAAGGAACTTGTAAGGTTCAAATAAACAAACACAAATATTTGCACTTTTTTTTTCAAAATTGAAAAGTTCGAAAAATCTATCCAAAAAAAAAAAAAAAGAGCTCATTTTATCTTGAAATTGATAAGTCTAAGCATTCAAAATCACATATTTTCCTTCTCTTTTTTTTAATAAAAAAATAAAAATTGTTGGTCCTTTCATCTTTCTTAGCCTTCTATAAATTGTTCGAGATTCGTTTGCTGTTTATTGACCGGGCCAGCTATCATGCGACCCACTAACTGACCAGCCCATCTCCTCCTCTTTTATTAGGTAGGTCTGGTTAGATCGTAGTTAAGCCAGGGAACCATTACAAGCCCATAAGTTTTTTCAGTATCGTTTCTTAGTGGGCTTTAATAACAATTAGACTTAAAAATACTTCTATATACAATAACACTGACTTAATTAACGTCTATAATCAATACCATTCATTTTTTCTTTTTTAATCACGGTTCGATAATAAATATATTTAGATAATACTTAACGAAATTCTTAAAGATACTCGTAATAATTCCTTACTCTAATAAAGACTCTCTCTTTTTTTTTAATCTCACAACTTTTTTATTGGTTAATCTCTTTTTGTTAATTTTTCTTGCATGTTTATTTACTTCATTTTGGTTGTCGATGCACATGTGTGTATATATTTATATATATTCAGTGCTAAATGTTCCTTTTTTTAGTAAGTTAATTATGCTAATTAAATTAGACATATATCTCTATACTGAATAAATTAGGAAGAATCAACATTCTTAATTCCATCGAAATAGATTCTCTTTTTATTTTCAGGTGTGTAAAAAATTGTTTGTTATGGATCATTTGCAGTATATCTCTATGATGTTTAAAAAATAATTAATAATATTTATTCAGAAGTAAATTTCTCTCTTTGTTTTGCATTTTTGTTTTTATTTATGTTTTTCTCTTCAAAATAAGCTCCTGACTAGTTTCAAACCAGAAGAATGTTCGCTTAGAGCTGGTGAAACACTAAGACCAATACACTTGGACCTTTGTAAGTTGCAAGAGGCACCAGTCCTGGGTCAGCCTTGGCCCAACCTCTAGTGGGCTTAA